AAAAAATCAGACTGCTGTATGTGTCTTAAGCCAAGCGGGAAGGGAATTGCCCCTTTGCTTTTACACATCCCATCCGAGCGGAGCAGACAATTGCTTTTTGAGGGATTCCCAATCTTGTATGTTAATGTGTGCACAAATGCATGCAAATCCTTTATTACGGAGCGCAGCAGAGGCATGGCATGGCCCGGCGCGGGCCATTTTCCTCACTTTGTCTGGAGACGGAACTGCTCCCTGATACAGCCCGTTTATTTCCATCCCAGAAGAAACAAGTGAGAAGCAGAGATAAGCAGCGCCGGGCGGTGATAAGGGCTGTTTGCCGAGTTCCTTCTTTATCCGAGAGGAATTCTAACATTTCTGCCACGATTTTAAATTCTGCCTTCGTTCTTGGTGCTGCCAGCAGCGGTTGACATCTTGCGCTGCCCTTTCTTAAAGTAGCCGCCTTGCTCAGTCCGGCCGGGCTTCGCTTCGGTGGCATTCACTGCATTAGGTCACGCAGCCGTGGCTGGACAGAAAGACCCCTGTGGCCAGGAGCTTCTCCTGCAGGCAGGGATCTTCTGCCCCACCAACCCCAGGGCAGCCCAGTCCTGCCTGCACTGCCCAGCCCCCGGCACACGCAGGCTGTCCGCTGGGACAGGCCAGCTTGGCCGGCACCTTTGCTGGAGCTACACACCATTCGCAAGCACCCGCTTTGCCTCGGCTTCACGCTGCCCCCGGTGCCCCTTCCCTGCCTTTTTAGCTCTGTTGTTCTTCCCCAGCTTGGAGTTTTTCACAGCAGGGAGACCTTGGATCTCTTCAGGGAGCCGGGGGCACACTCATGGCTCTTTCCAGAGCCTCTTGCACAGCACTAGTGTTTCCAACGTGGTTGAGCTTATTGTTGGTGCCGCTGCTGTGGTGAAAGGGCTGCGGGAGGCTCCGGCGATGGGCTGTGCTTTTCTAACCGCGGTGTACGCCGAGAGACTGCCTCGTCCCAGAGACCTCCCAGGTCAGCTGGGCTCACGTCGAGCTGTACGTCGGTGGAGCTGGGCTGGAAGCATGCTTCTGCATCCCAGGGGAGAGGAACTCGGGAGCCGGGTTCTCTGCTTGGTGTGTTGAGCCTTGTTTGCTTTGGATTCCCCTTGTGTGCCTGTTCTCATCCGCAGAGAGCAGAGGGCTGGCGGAGGGTGGTGGGTGCAGTTTGCACCGTCCCCCTGCACCCGGTGGGGATGTAACTGGGGAGGGCGGTTAGAGCCTCCTCTGAGGAGAGGAGCGGCTGCCATGCCAAAAGCACCACGTAAAAGCGGCCATTGGGAAATAAAACGCATCCATCTTGTAACTCCATCACATGAAGCGCTGGCCTTGAGTAGAATCAATTTTTCAATCTGTTCTTGAGGCATTGCTGCGTTTGTACCATGTGAAGTCAATTCGCGGCGGGCTCCTCTCCAGCTAAATCTGACACCAGGAAATGTTCTTTTTCTTCCCGTTTGCTTCCCACCGTCCCGGCCCCGCGGCAGGGCAGCTCCGTGTCCAGCTCCATGCCAAGCAGCCCGGCTGCCTGGTCCCCCGCCCGTGC